GTTTTTTTTTTTGGTTTTTTTTTTTTTTTTTTTTTTTAAAGGGGAGTGATGGTCTCGGTGGGCCGGTTCTTGAGGAATCCCCCGGAACGGGCGAAACTGATGGCCGTCGCGAGAATTACCGGTCGTCTCATCGACATTCCACTCGCTTGGCCTTAATTACCGTGGCCATTGAGGTGACCTTGGCGGCTCGTCTGTTCTCTGCAATTAAAATTGCACGGTCGAAGTGCACGAAGAAGGGTCTGTTTCATTTCCTGCCTCGAGCGACCATTTGCGGATTGTTTGCAAAAGGCGTTCTGAAACAAACGATACGAGCGGCACAGGCGCGGCTAGAGGCGTGACACATCGGAGCACGAGGGCCTCAAAAAGTCCGAAATCGCTCTCATCCCCCGTTTCCATTGAAAATGCATTCGTGGAACACTCGAGGGGAAACGGAGGGCGCCCTCCCTCTCGTCCTCCCCAAGTCGATACGAGGGCGGAACGACGAGACCTTCGATTCCCGCAGCCGTTCGCCCCCGTAACTGCAAGTACTGCATAGAATATCAATAATGGACTCCGCTCTTAATTCCAGTTCAGTTGGCATTCATTCTAGTTTAGCATCACCGTATCTGGTTTCGGTAGAAGTGAAACTGGAACAGAGCGAACTCCCCTGCCCTGACACATATTCCCAGAAATTTCTTCCATTTCCCAACGAAGTAATAAAGCAGTGTATCGTATGCCCCAAGCCATCATGATTTCCCTGTTACGTTCTGCCGCGTAACGCGCGAGTATACCGGAAACAAGAAAATCAGTCGAGAAGGGAGGGAGGGAGGAAGGGAGGGAGGAAGGGAGGGAGGAAGGGAGGGAGGAAGCCCCGCTGGAAACGGAAGCGGAATAGGAAGCACATGCGCCACGCAACGAAGGGAAGCGGCTCGGCCCGGCTGACACTTCCCGATTCCGCCTCAGTCGCATTCCAGCCGCCGTCCTTCTCGCTCTGGTGCCATCCGTCGAACGGTGCGAGTTCCGATGCGTCGGTCGACATGCGTTGGTCTTCGAACGATATTTCCTTGGGCTTCGGGCGGAGTCGTATTCAATTTCAACTGTGGGGCAAAAGCATCCATGGGATCAAGAGTTGCCCGATAAATTATTCCCGTATCCTCGGAATTTCCCTGCATGGTTGGAATCGCCCTCATTCCCTTCCCCGCAACTTGGGCTTGCGACCTGGTTGCTTTTTGGACTAAATGTCTTGCTTTTAGCATCGTTTGCGCCTAAAGCAGGGAGTCGTCGAAATCAACGTTTTTTTTTTCTCGCGGTCTCTCCTACTCTGAATCCTCACATCGCGATTCAAAATTTGACTTCTGTATGTAACTGCGGGCAATAAGTAATTCATCCCAGTCTTGGACAGGAGCTTCAACCGGCCATGAATTGTTAATATAATCAGGAGTTTCCGTTTTGTAAGGAATGAATTTTGCTAGATTGCATGATTTTCTTGGACCTCCCCCCCCTCCCCCCCCTCTCCCCCTCCGACCTCTGGCATCATTCTCCGGGATCAAATTGCATCAGATTGATACCATTCATTTTCACGTCATTCCTGGAATTCAAAACCATAAAGGCTTCTCGTGACGAAGCGACATTTCTCACCAGCTCCCTCACAGCTCGACGCCGATCGGATGATCCCTTAGAATGCGACGAGAATGCGACGAGAATGCGACGAGAATGCGACGAGGATGCGATAGGCCTCTCGTTACGGGTTTGCCGATATCGACAGACGTCTGTGCAATTTCTGGAATGGCTTCTTAAATGCGGGGGGAAAAAACTTTCCCATGCGTGACCGAAAGCTTCGAGGAAGACGCCTGGCTCCTCGTCACGATTGAGGAATGAAGCGTGACGAAAAAAAAGGTACTGGCGGATCTGAAGGCGATAGCGTGAAGTACTTTCGTGCGGTACTTTCACAGCCTTCACATTTGAAGGAAGAATGCTTTTCGATCCCGCAAATGAGTCCCGCGCAGGCTCCCTTCAAGGACTCGGGTGCCCTCAAGGCGCTCGACCCGGATAAAAACGCGCTCCCTTTCTATCGCCGCTATTCAGTACGTAACGGGGCTTCTGTGAGCGACGCAGTTCCTGACGAAGTACTGAATCCGAATCGAACAGTCCCGTGGATCGTGTCGATCATGTTTCACCGGGGAATCCGATCGGTGAGATTCCCAGATCTCTGATCTAGTGCTTCCCGGGTGCATCCCGATCTCGTCGCGAAATCCCCGACGAGCCCACATCACAAAGCTCATTTCTACGATAAGAACACCATGTGGAACATGAGCTCGATTCCCGAAACGAGACTTTTCTTCCTTCCCCCAGGTAAATCACCGATAACGCGATGAATAGGATCGGAGCAGGGGCGCTCCGTGCGCTCCTCCTGCTCCCTTGGCTGAGTGCGACCCTCGGCCAGGAGTCCCTGTGCGACCAGAGCGATCCCAGGACCATCTACGGGTTCCAGGAGGAACTCCTCGACGGCTCCAGGAATGTGAACCTCGCCGAGTTCCGCGGGAAGGTCGGTCCCTCGTCCGTTTAGCGTTTTCGCATGTTTTCGGATGGCGATCTGCTGCATGACCTGCGCGAAATCGAAGCAACTTTGGAATAGGCTTTCAACTTATTATTACATTTTTTTAAAAAATGAATTTAATGGTAGAAGTGTATTATGTAACTTTTTCACGGCGATTTAAATGTTCGTAGATCTAAAAATGAAAAGTGGAATGATCAACGAGACGACAAATTCGTCTCCCCGTAACTATTCCTCCTTCGTCGCTCCCTCTTCCGGTTTAACCTCTGAAGGGAAAATAAAGCGCTGATTCATCAGCCGGTCATCCCTTTAAACTGATGTTGTTAGCCTCGATCTCACTATAACGTCGGCTGAGGTCGGCATATTTTCTTCGATGGGATTTAAATGCCAGTGAGTGTGACGGTGAGATGTGACAATGTAACAGGATGGTAGTGAAAATTCGCGCATGTAATAATACAGGGGCGAATTAGGGATATCGCGAAAATATAACCCACGCTAAATCCCTTTTCCAGTGCAGCATCGATCATCCGACAGCATCAAAAGGAGCCCTCATTTTCAACTAACTAATACACATTTCGCATTTCCTCCTCTCTCCCACAGGTGGTGCTGATCGTGAACGTCGCGACGTACTGACAGTTCACGTTCGCGACCTACCCGCAGCTGAACGCCCTGCAGACGCACTTCCGCGACGACCTCGTCGTCCTCGGCTTTCCCTGCAATCAGTTCGGCCTGGTGGGGATTCCGTTCGTTCTGCGTCCTTCGTTCCCGTTTGGTTATCGCGGAGCAGCGTTTTTGGTGCTGCACGGAGAAAAGGAGCAGTAGTCGTGATGGGGGAATTTAAAATAAATGCGATACGTATAAATGAAATATACATATGCATAACATACGTATAACTAATAAAAAATATGAATATTATAAATATTGCATATAGACAATATACAAATGAATATAAATAATATAAATTCCCACAACAGAGAACCTCGATTGCATTGCAGCCTTGGTCCGGAGATTATACATGGAGTGCGCGATCCTGACTACGAGCTACGTTAAGCGACAAATGTGTGTATCCGGGTGTGACTGCTTTACGGGCGTAACGCTCCGAGATCCGGAGAACTGGAGGGTTTTGGCAGAAAACTTCATTTTTATCCGGGGGTTAGGCCTTTAGCGATCCTTCGGCGACTGATCGGCGGCGCAGAAAAAGGGGAGGGGAGGCGCCCCCTCGCCTCGCCGCCTGCGGGGTGGGTGAGGAGTCGGTGGTTGACGCGGGATTCGTGTGGGGGCGCGGCCGTCGTTCGCTTCGGTGCTTCGCGGCGGCAGGCGCGAATCGGGATTTGAAGACGCTCTCGTGAAATGCGGGGCGGTTGGTTCGGCGGCACTTGCGGGCTCCGCTGGGAAGGCAGGCACTGCAGTTTTCTCCGGGGGGGGGGGGGGTCCGTCTCTCAAGATGCAAAAATTCAGAATGGCGGGATGACGTCATCTTTCGCCACTGCTTGCATCGGATTTTGTACTTTTAAGCGGTCAATAGAACGCTGGCAATACCTGGAATGAAGTGTTCAATCAACCTGCAATTAACGTTCGGGTGCGACTTGGGTCACAGTCTCTCAATTTCATGGTGGACAAAAGACAAAAGACAAAGGACTTTTGTCCTTCAAGGACAAAAAAGAACTTTGTTTCCTCCAGTTTGCAGCGGGATTACCTGCTACTAGTAATTATTTAAAATAATATGCATAATAAGTAGAAATGGTATGTGCAATGCATGTAAATTATATAAGTATTATATATAATTTTAGTAACGTATTAGGAAAATATTTTTCCTGCACAGATCCGGAGCCCCGAGGCCCGTATCTGTGGCTCCCCAATTTACCTAATGGACCTCCATTGGAAAGAATTGTCCCCGGTCTCCTGAATGATTTCAGGGCACTCTTCCTGTGTCCGGCTTGAAACCGATGTTTGGTTTGAAATAATATCATTCCGTACCTGAAGTAGGTATAGTACTCTTTTTTTTAATGCTCGTCATAATTTCGGAATTAGGGGATAATTTCAAGTTTCGCACTTCGCAATTTCTTCTCCTTAGTTGTAAAACTCGCCTTCAGTTCCCTGATGCTTGTATAATGTTTCCGGTGGATTGCCTGCAAGCTAAAAATGGATTCCTGGAGGTCCAGATAGGTTGCCCGAAGTTTTAGGCAATTCTGAACTATTCATCCAATTCGTTGGCAATCGAATGTTGCGTGGAAGTAACTTTGCCTTGACTGCTCAACATTTTTTATGAGAAGCACATTTTGATTTCAATAATGAACTTCCTATTTATTTCATTAGTTGAGACACCATTAACATCCCCAATCATAAAAAAAATCGTTTATGTTCTGGAACAGCAAGAACCAGGTCGAGACGGAAAGGAAATCATAAACGGGGTGGTTCACGTCCGCCCCGGCGGGGGATTCGTGCCGAACTTCATCCTCTTCCGCAAAGTGGAGGTGAACGGGAATGGGACCATCCCCCTCTACTCATATCTCAAAGTGAGTCTGCTTCCGCTCACCCCCTAACCGTCCACCCCCCATCATCCACCCTACCCCAGCAACCCTCCATCCTTCATTAGGGTGAAAGACCCAGTGATGGGCCTGTTAGGCAGGTACTCAATGATGGGCCACTTCGCAGGAAGATTCCAAAAACTAGGCATTTGTTCCATGACCACCTCTGAAGAGTTTATGTGCTTGAATGCAGCTAGCCCATGTCATAACATGGATAGGCATGCTATGGAAGCTTAGCTATTGGAATTTTCATGTGCTATGGCCCATAACTGGGTTTTTTACCCTATCTAGTGCTTTACTGCGAGGACTCTAAATGAAGGGGAGTCATCGTGTAGCTTCTACGGTGTCCTTCGCTGTCAGGAACGAAGGAAGCGTCAAAACACATTACATAGCAGGAGCAAAGTACAAGTATTATTATTAGAATAGGATCATTGAGAAAAGATGGAGTCAGTTCTGCGCTTGGAGTTAACATTGCATGACAGCGAGAGTCTTTGATCGAGTAAGCATGAGACATCTCAATACGATGAACAATTGTAGATGTAACACGCAATTATTGCCAAATGCACTAATTGCAGGGACTCCATAAGGAAATGTACCTCTGGAGTCCTTCTTCTTTATGCTCATTCAAAGAAAATGGAGAGGAAATCTCCCTTTACATGTAGTAGACACTATCTATTCCTCAGCGTTCGTCGTGAGTTCAAAACTAAATCATATTGGAACTTAAGAGAAGTTAGGCAAGGCTGACATAAACCTTGTTATTGAAACTGACGCCAAGTGGATAATTAACTACCCAGAAAATTAAAATATTACATTATAAAATGTGGGTACACTTCTGCTATTTTCCTGAAGTTGTTGAGTGTTCCCGCAAACGCCTGTTATAATATATGGTAATACCACTTTCCCCGCCAGAGCGTCTGCCCGACGACGGTGAGCGCATTCCGCGAGAAGGCCCGCCTTTTCTACGATCCGCTGGACAGCGACGACATCCGCTGGAACTTCGAGAAGTTCCTCATCGACCGCGACGGGAAGCCCTACAAGCGGGTGCATCCCCAGCAGCTGCCGGAGACGCTGTACGACGACGTCGCGAGGCTGGCGAGTAAGAGGGCCCGCCCTCAGGGAGCCCGCCCTCATGGAGCTCTACGTCAGGGAGCCCGCCCTCAAGGAGCCCGCCCTCAGAGCAGCTCCACAGGATTTGGCGAATTCCGATTGTTCGGATCCCCGGGGCGATTCCCATCCAACTTCTAAGAAGAACAATCCAAAAAGTGGATAACTCACAGATAGGGAAGCAATCAACGTAGCGGATAACGCAGATCCTCACTACCCGCTTCAATGAGATTCCATCAGAATTAATCCTTAAAACTAAAAAAGAGAAACAGAAGAAAACCCACAGCCTTCTTAGAGCACGTCTCAATTCGGGCTGTCAATCAATCATTTCTGCTCCGATAGAAAATGTGAAGTCCTAAAAGAACTGAAGCCTAGTGCTAATCGAACCTCAAAAAATATGATTTGTTTCAAATAAATAATAAACATCGCAGCCGCATAAAACTGAACATGAATAGATTTTCCAGGTTTCTGCCTTATTGCCTAAATCACCTATCAAATTCGTCCATTCATCTAAGAGAAAGAAAATTGCATATAAGAAAACGTAATTTGTCATGAATGCGTTCGGTATATATATTTTTATGATCTGGTATGTATCATCAATGCCGAGGCTTATCTGCAGGGAGGAAACCATCGTTTGACCCCATGAATGTCTCTCACGAGCGATGAATTTGATGGAATCTGCAATAACGAGAAGGAATTTCGGGGGAAGCCGATGAAAAGAATGACGGAACGTTCGGAAAACTCCTCCGGAGTCGAAACGTCCCCGATGCGACGGCGCGGAGGAGGGGATTCCCTTTTCATTCGGGCGTTCAGGTTCTTTCCTCTGCGCCGGGATGTTTCGTCGGCTTTTCGCGGGATTCCGTCTCTTCGAACTGTCTTTCACCCGATCGAGGCATTCCTTTTTAAATAAAATGGTCGAAAGTGTGGACATGAGATCTATTGTCGGTGAAATTCGATTGCTGAACGCAGATGGGAAGGCCAAGTCCGGGTCAAATGCTTTATTTACCGTTGATCGTGTTCGGAATCCGTCTTGTTTGCATTGCGAAGGGTTCTAAGGGCGGGGTTGTGGCGATCCCCCTTCCTTTTCAATGGCCATGTTCGCATGCAATGCCTTTAAATTCCTCCGTACTTTGGTACGGAGGAATTTAAACATCGTCGTGACAAAACATCGACGAAATTAAACGTCGACATGCCAATTTATTTTCCTCGGATTTTTTATTTGAGATTGCAGTTTTACAGAACTTCCTTGGGCCTTCCTGCGATCAACTATCAATCCTGGATAACCGATGAAAAACAGGTTGAAGATGACATTGTGGCTTCAGCAAGCACCTCTGAGCTATTCATCCGCCTCTGATGCACAGTGAATTAACGACGTTGCAGTTTGTTTCTCATCAAAGACGGTTGAAATGAAAAAGCATTTTGCCAGATTTCGTACATTACAGGATATAAACCTATCTATATGGTGCAGCTAAGATTTTGTAATGAAGAGAAAATTGTTAAATCTTTTAATGGAAGTGCCGATTTTGTATTAATTTTAATGATACGTACTCATTCAATTAAAATGAAAATTTAAAATGAATTAAAATTAAAACCAAATCAAAAGAGACTAATTTAATAGAAAAAATAATTTGAATGAGGTACCACATTTTGTAAACGATGAGAAAAAATGAACATATTGAAAAGAGGAGCCTGTCATCGCACGGTACACTGCAGCAGATCAGCATTACACCTGAAGATTAAGAGTAAGATTAAGAAGATTCAGTGCAATCCTTTGTAAATACTCTTTCACTAGTCGCTGCTAATCCAAAACGATAGGTTTTATTCGAGGCGGTCCGGACGATTCATTTAGCGGCTCGGAGGAGGGCCTTCTCACGCAATACGAGGTGTGGCTATTATGTTTCCAGACTGGTTTTATTGCTGAACTTTGAGAGAGAGGAGGGGAGTGGGG